AATCCACAACATCGTGTCCAAAAATATAGGTGATGGATTAGTTTAGTTCAGGCTGGGGTGCGGAGGACCTCAAAGTTTGTTAAATATATACCGTGTCGGAAAATTATGTTCTATTTACGAAGCTTTTTTGTTGATTTCTTAACAAACAACGAACGACGACTAAGACCTGAGGAGTGTTATAAATATACACGACGAGCAAATCTATTCGGGATGATGATTTATACGACGGATAAAGTAACTGGAGGTATCTCTCCTGTAAGCGCGAGTTTTACCAAAAATAGGTAGTCTTAGTAAATGGTCATCAGAGGAGCCTTCAAGCTCTGAATAATACTTTAGCCTATTTCTTGCGCATAGAGTCCCGCGAGTTCATCGGTGGTGTTCAGGTACACTCTGTATATCTCCGGCACGCAGTGGTCTAAACGCCTGATTTTGTGGCAAAAGTTAATATCGTTAGTAACAATAAATCGCATACGATATAAACGACATTTGCCATCTAGGAGGACCATTACTGATATAAAAAAAATATGCAGAGTGAGATTTTTAAAGTGGTATGTGTTAATTATTCTGCAACTGTTGAAGATAGCAACTTAGATTATTTTTTATAATTAAATGTCACATGAGGACAAATATTATTGCCAATATTTCTATCTTTAGCTCATATTTTTCGAAATTTAAAGATCACCGACTTGTTTTTTTCAAAACAATAACGTGTCACGATAAAATAAGATACACTATCTGCTCGGTGAAATATAAATAAATTTATTTTTTAAATATTATTTTAAATATCACGTACACACGCATATTTTAATATCTTATTTTGACAAAAAATATTTTGAAGAGAGAAACAAAATTTTTCATTACAGATATAGATACGCTAGTTGTTAAACATACTGGATTGAATTGGCGGAAGAATATTTCAAATCTTAAAGCATTCATATCGAACTTAGAAATTTAAAAGATTAAATATATCAGAAGGAGGGACGCAGCTACTTTTGTATAGAAGTTTTCTGATACAGGTATAAAAAAATTTAGTAGTAAAAAACAAGGGAAATATAAAAAAGTTATTATTTTCTTAACACAGATAATCAGACGCAGAAATTACAATTATATAGCTAATCTTAACTATAACTTAATTTTCGCCTGATTTTTTATTATAAAAACGAAATCAGCAAAAAGTAGCAATTTCTTTCTTCACGTGCTTCAAGAGTACGATATTCTGGACAATTTGGCCATAAAACCTTCTTGACTAAAAACGGCTAAAGCTTGTAAATCGTATAATAAAGTTGTAGTATGTGATTCTTTTTATAAGCATTATATGAGGTTAAAAACTACTTCGAATATACATGTTATGTTAAGTTCATTTGTCAATTTTGCGAATAATATTTAAAGTATATATGTCGAATAATAATATATCGTGCTAAATCATTTTAATAAACTACTTTGTGCAATTTAAAGGCTAATGTAAATAAAGTGCAGAGGGCAGCATATTAAGCATACTAAAAATTCTTTATTTTTATCCACTTGTATTCAGGGCAACGTAAAAGCATTTAAATTATAAGAAATTGTTCCTTGCACATTCTTCTTGGAATCACAATAATTCTTACTGGTACTTGAACGCATTGGAAAAATTGATTTCTTGCCAGGTCTTCACGATTTTAGACTATTGTGCGGCACGCGCTCGTGCCGCAGCGTGCACTTTATTAAGAGGCTCGGGACAGTGGATAACGGACCTTAATTACGCGGGAATTTTTCACGTCCGCCGCGTGTTGTTTACCGGCGGTGCGCGGTGGCGTATAAACGCGAGCCGCAATAAGGACGAAGATAATCCGCGATGACCAGCGACGAGGTCGCATGCGACATCGACTAAAGCGACTGAGGAAGGAGCGTGTAAAAATATTTGTTTCACGGTTAACAAAGTATAGCGTCCCCCCTCTCTCTCTCTCTCTCTCTTTCTGCCTCGCTATCTCACCCTCCTCGGCGCGCATGAGAGAGAGAGAGAGAGAGAGAGAGAGAGAGAGAGAGAGAGAGAGAGAGAGAGAGAGAGAGAGAGAGAGAGAGAGAGACGTAATAACCACGAGCGAGTAAATTCCATGAATAATCGAGTCGCGACAACGCAGTCGTGGACGCTAGTTATGAAGTATGAATAGAGCGCATTTCCACGGGCTCGTTTCCATGCACGCGATGACTCACTTTTTTTCTCTCTTCTCCCCTCTTTCTCTCTCCGACAGCGGCGGCCGGAAGCGGCGCTCGCCGTCGGCACACCCATTCATCCTCGATCGAGTCATCGAGATCGATTCGGACCGTGGCGCGACGCAATTATCGATGATGGCGGTAAGAATACGAGCGGAGCAGGCCGTGTGTATGGGCGTATCGAGAAAGATACGACGCGGGGATGTAAATGCGAGAAGAAAAGTACGCGTAATAATATCAATTATGGCGCTGGAGGGAGCAAAGAGTTATACCGCGCATGCGCTGTTATCGTTAAAAGTTCCTTTCCTCCAATAGCGACTTGTTAACTTGCTAACGACGTTAATCGTCTTTTTTTGTTTCCTTCTTTCCTTAGCGATTATAAAGCGCTGCTTCTTTTTCGGTCACATCAATGCGCGCTCGAGACGTGTGTATGGGATGGCCGGCAGTGGGAAGTCTTTAAAACTTGGTGAAAAAATAGACAGGATGTCGCAATTTACAGCGACGACTCGTTATTTCTCGAGCGATGATAACGAGTAATGATAACCGGAAGGGCCTTACTTTTTTCTCTAACGAGTAACAATTGGAACGTGGCGCGTTACTTGTAACGCCGTTGTTGTATGAGTTACTGCTTTAAATAACGACATAGTGATCTTTTTTTTTCTTTCAATAATAATGTTAACGCGACTACATTTTTTCGGTACAACGGCGCCACGGATAGAATCATTCGGAGCAGTGCGGTTAAAAAGTAAGGGAAAGTGTAACCACTTGCTTTTCGCGAGTAGCGATAACGAGTTACTTTGAAGAAGTGACTTTCCCAAATCTAGATATATTATGAAAAAAATATTGTGCGACATATATTATAGTAAATAATGCCCACGTCACGCGCCGCTAATTTCATAATAGACGTATTATAATATCTATTGTGATATAATATTATAACAATATCTATAATCTGAATATAATCTGAATAATACAACTTTCCCAAGTTTGAATATAACATATACAGGGTGTCCGGGATCTTTTGGAAGCAAAAGATTGTGAAGATTAATCAGATCAAACTGCAAAGACAAGTCAAGTACCATTTTGCAAAAATCGTAATAGTTATTAAAGAATGACCACATCTAGAGGCTATTTTATTTCATAATTTGAAAATTTGCGTACTTATTTGCAAAATGGTATAGGATTTTTTTGTTCAGAATAACTTAACCTACAATACAATTATATGACGGCTATTGTGCCTAGCGGGTTCAACATTCAGGGTTCAAAGTTCAATGTACTCATATCTATCGCTAAATAATCATATAATTGTAGGTTAGACCATTCTGAACAAAAAAGCCCTTAACCATTTTGCCAATAAGTACGCAAATTTTCAAATTATCAATTAAAAGAGCTCTCTAGATGTGGTCATTTTCAATTATTGATAACTTAACAACTTTTGCGATTTTTGCAAAATGATTATGACTTAACTTTTCTTCTCAGTTTAACCTGATTATTTTCACAATTTCCCCTTTCCAAAAGACTCTGGACACTCTGTATTTATGACGTATCTATTATAATAAACGACATCCATTATAATTTATCTGATGACAGATGTATTGGGTGTTTCGGATAATGTCTCTTGAGTCGGTTTCTTTGGGGACGAAATAGACGATAGACATATAACCATCTTCTACCATTACTTTATGACAACTCACAATTTTATCTGGTATTGCATATAAGTAATAATTTTGTAAAATCTCACTAATGATGAAAGGAAATACTTTTATCAACACGTTCGCTACCGGCGTGACACTGGTCATTGATGATCAATTATGAAACAAAACATTCTTATTTCTAAAAACATTCGCCATCAGTGACACTCCATCTTGACAAAAAAATATTTTGTTTTGTAGTTAATAAGCCACTAACTCATCTAAACTCGACTCAATGCGCTACAAGAAACAGCATTAAACCGTCACGAAGTATGATGGTGGTAAATAGATGGTCGTGTTCATCGTTTACTTCATTCCTGAAGAAACGAACTCAAAGGCGCGTTCTAGGAAGTAGCCGTTATAACATCTGTCGTAATATCGTAACATCCGAATAACAAAAAGTCCAAGGCGCGTGACCCTCGAGCGCAGGAGAGACGAGCGCGAGAGAGAAGAAGCTGCGTGAGAAGAAGAAGACAAACGCACGCGAGAAAAACGCGACAGAAAGAAAGGCGCTGCTCTATCAGATACATAACAATACAAAGGCCGCCGCGCCGGGGCGGCTGGAAAATCATAGAAAAGAAACGCAGGCTCGCGTGTTCGATATCGCTTCCACACCACCGCGTGCCACATTCGATCGGTCGAGGTTCCCGTGTTGCTCTGTTCACGCTTCGCGGAGCACAGACAAGATCATAGACGCGCGAATAATTACTGAAAGCGATTGAGTGGCGCAGCGCGCGCGCGTCGTCGACGAAGGAGACGGAGAGTCTCGCGTCTCTCCTCGTCTCTCCCCGTCTCACCGCCTCTCCTCGTCGCACCTTTCCTCCCCCGACGCGCGTACTCGTTCAAGGTGGCCACGCGCTTTTTCTCACGATGGAATCGAACGTCCGACGCGCGTCTTTTTTCTTCCCCCAGCCGGCGTAATGGCTTCGTCCTTCGCGCCGAGTCTGCGACCGCGAGTCGTCCGCTAAGGATCTAGGATCTAGGTGAGCACGTAACGACCCGCCCGTCTCCCTCCCCCCGCTCCTCTCGGCGGCCTCTGCCAGCGCTCGCCTGACGAATTCGCCTCGCCCGTGCGAGGTAGGGAAAACTTTTTTTTTCCGCGTGTCTCCCCCTCGCTTCCGCGACACGCGGCGCGCCACCGACGTAAAAACAATCCGCCGGGGATATATAAGTGATCCGGCGGGGTACACGAGGCGTAGTCAGTCCGCAGTACCGACGAGATCGCAAGCACCCGCGAGCAACATGTTCAAGCTGGTGAGTAAAGCACTCTCTTTCTCTCCTTCTGTCTGCCTCTTTCTCTTTCTTGCGGGAGCACACACTCGGCCAGCTTTTCCCGGGAGGGTCGCGCGGATATCGGCGCGGTTTTCCTCAAACGGCACACAAGTGACGCCGGGAAGATCTCGGATACGCTGGCCAACGTTCTTCGCGCGTCTTTTATGTACTCTGCTTTCCTTGAATGCACGTACTTTTTGAGGATGATATTTGATTCCTCCTTATCACTTTCCTCTTGTCGGGCCACGCTTATCGCGGGCTGCGGGAGAGACGAAGCGGAGAAACAGAGAGAGAGAGAGAGAGAGAGAGAGAGGGAGAGAGAGAGAGAGAGAGGGAGGGAGTCGCAATATCGTGAGGAACGCTACGGACGATCTACGGTAACATTTGCGGTGAACTTTACTCGCCGCCGCGGGCGCGATTTTATCACGCCGAGGAATACTCTCGTCGTTTCATTCATATCACATTATAATACGTGGCTGGAATCATCCTGGATACGCGGTGCGTAAATAAAGCCGAAGGCTACGCACCACCGCACGCGCGCATGCGCGCGCGTCGTTTACGACGCCGTCGCGTAGAAATTTATGTTAGCGCCGTAAGGCGCGACGTGTCTTTCCCCCTGATAGCCCGAAACTCCTCTGTAATTTATTTTCATATACTTGCGTTTCATGGTGTATATTATACTTTCATAACGCATCTCTGCCTCCCTCCGCTCTTCTCTCTTGCTCGCTCTTTATAATTTATATTGTACTTTCAGTTAGTTTTTTTCCCGTCCGTGGGTTTCATCATTCGAAAAACTTGAGAGAAGGGTGTTATTAAATCTCTCGAGCTGTGTTACGCGCGCGACGACGTGTCCCTTCGCTCAATAAAAACACTGCGGAGCTCTCTCGCACGCACACGGAGCCGCTTTAATTATATATCGGGCGAGTGTAAAAGTTCCGATGGGCATCGCGGCGAAAAGTGGACCAAGAAATGTGATCGAGAACGATGTGCTTGTTTCCCACCATTTTTGGTACAGCGTATTCACATGTGCATTGCAAGTGTTACGGTAAAACGGGATCAGTCGCATCTTTGATGAAAATCCAGCAAGAAACTCTTGCACTCGCCCGTAACTTTGCGAATTTTCCTGTGGGATTGCGTAATGATTTTCACGAAATCGGTTCATGGAGACTACCTAAAAGAAAACTGCTAATTTCGATTATTTGTTTATTTATGTTTATTTTGCAATAAACTATATTGTACCTTTTTGTTACTCTTGCTAATGTTTTATGGGCACTGTAGACTAAGAAGACCTCACATTTTTCGTTAAAAAATCCTTGAAAAATCTCAAAGATCGGCTAAAAGGTGGGGCGTTTAGCGTCCCAGCGTACCGTAAAGGGTTAAGGGATATTCCTCACGTATATCTATAGCCCGTACCCGCGCTTTACCGCAGATCGTTCTTCTCGCCACCGTCGCCTACGCATCCGCCGGCCTCTACTCCGGATACGGCGGGACTTACGGCGGGACTTACGGCTATGGTGGTTACGGCAGTGGCTACGGCTTGGGTCATGGAGTTGCGGCGATCGCACCTGCGGTCGCAACATACGCACACGCTCCAGTTGCTCCAATTGCAACCAGTTACGCCAATACGTACAAGGTAAGCTCTCTTCAGCCGGACGTTACGCCACGCGTGAAGGATTATCGGTCCCTTGGCCGATGGCTATAACAGCTCGAGAAGGGCAAGTAGTGTTTGCTGATAAAGTTGCATCAGGACCTTATTCGAAGAGCGCTAGGAGGAATACATATTTCATATTTCATCTCTTACATATTTCATCTCATTTTCACCCGAGTAATCCTCTCGCAAGTGCATCTCCGAGTGTAACGCATCACTTTCGAAACCGTTACGCGACAAATGAAGTCGAACGAGGAACAATGGATTCTATTGTACTGGAAGTACAATCACTCGAACGGCGAAAATGGATCATGAGAGGGAGAAGAGGGGAGAGTATAACCAGCGTCTTTTGCTCTTTAAGCTAGAAGCGTCGAGCTGCGTCCAGCCATGAGGCGTGAGATGTTATATTGGGCTCCAAAACGGTTCGAATCCTTTTCTCTTTGGACGCAGTTCGGAAACGTCCAATGAGAGAACTTCTGAGATTTTTCCGGAATCGAATTCCGTCATTGGATATTCCAAATCCCAAAAATTCAAGAAACTTTTCAAACCCAGCGTAACCACAGACTTTCTCGAGAGCTTCCAAAACAATATATAAAAGGCAGCCATGTATTCCTCTTCCACTCTCCACAGGCATGTCATCTTCGTCTAGCTCTGCCCAATAGGAGTCAAGCTGGACAAAGGTCACATGCCTGGGGCGAAGTCCATTCCTGTCAGATGTGGTCTTCGTAGCCTCTCTTGAAGCGCTCAGTCTGTGTATTAATTAGTGATGGGCGATCTCGATTCGATTTTCGGAAGGTCAATTTCCTGCGAATTTTTCCTGCGAAGATCAATCTTCAAGACGATTTCTTCTATTCATAATAACGTAGAACGTCCCGATGTAATAGCGACAACAGAAGCAGTCGCCCTCTGATCGAGTGAGAAGGATTCACCCATGTTAAAACGACCCAGTTTCAACTGGGGACTTCCATTCGTCTTCGTGATGAGACCCCCTCTGATCGACAGAGCGAAATAATGATCTCTGCACAGGTCGCGGTCGCCCCGACTGTCGCTAAGCTCGTCGCACCAGCCTACACCAAGGTGGCGTACGCGCCCGCCGTCACGAAGCTTGCTTACACCGCACCTGCTGTCACTTACGCGGCGCCAGCGGTGACCTATGGCCACTATGGTTACACGATTCCGCCCTCGGTCACCAGCTACACCAGCGGCCTCGGCTACGGCCACGGATACGGCCACGGATACGGTCTCGGCTACGGCTACGGAATCGGTCACGGTGGCTATGGTGATTACGGCAGCTATGGCGGCTATGGCAGCTACTACCATTAAATGGAACCACGGAACCGAAAGTCCAAAGCGGAGTGATGATCGTCTTCTTCGAGCCTTTCGACGAGCCCGATCGTCACAGCTGCGAGCGCACTGCCTGTGCATACTGCCACGAACTCTGTCATCTACTATGTACATGATGTTTATAATACACGTTTTCATCTTTTACGTCGTCTTTGCTCCTTACGACCTGCGCTCCCTTACGACTTGGTGCTTCGTGGTCTCTGAGAAGTCTTGACACGTTGATTTACGCTCAGTCGTTTCAGGGTCAGTTTTAACTGAAGTTGCTGCCTTGTTGCTCCTTTTCTGTTTCTTCCCACAGCGGTTTCAGTTGGAATCCTGCAAGGTTACTAAAACGGTTAGTTAACTGCAGCTGCTTGGTAAAAGTGGCCCTGAGCGTTCGGCTCAATTAGCGACGGGCGGTCTCGATTCGATTTTCGGAAAATTGATCTTTTTCTTCCGAAGATCGATTCTTTTCTGCTCGATTTTTCTAAGCATCGATTCTTTTCGAATAGAGAATCGGGTTTCGATTCGTTGATATGCTTATTCGTCAAGGTTGTATGGTTTAATGAAGAACTCAACTGAGGTCAACGTTTGAAAAAATCGATCGTCAATTCACGAATAAGAGTATCAAAGTCAACAAAAAAAAACAGATATCTCGCCAAATATTTCGTAATTCATTTTGACATCTCCTGATAAAAGAAAACTAAATATCGCGTGAGATACCTTTTCTTTTGACCGATTATACTTGACCTCGATATTTTTATGCATAATATAACATAAGCTGGAATGCATAATGCAAACGGAAGGAATAAATAAGAAAGAACATTAGTCTGTATAAATAGCTGGATATCTACATAACCGAATCCTTGCATAATTTGACGCATTCAAATGCCCGAATTTAGCATCATTAATGACGCCGACAAATCGCCCCGATTTTTTAAGATGCCTCTTAATATGTTAATCGCCAAGATGATCATTGGCTTCTAATATTTCTCATTAATTTGCATTTAAACGCAAGCAACAGCGTAGAATAAATCAAATACATAGCCGATAGAGCGCTAAAAAAAAGGGTAACAAATATATACAAAAAATTGCATTTATTGACCTCATCCTTGGTGACTCAGACTCGAGTTGCGAAATAATCAGTGGAAGTTAGCGTGGCGATCAACTTGTTAAGCCGGTTTCCGGCTATTTGTGGCGGCAGACAAATCTATAAATCCTCCGTCAAATTTTTTATTTCAAACGGTGCGACGATGTGACGAATGTTGTAAATATTCCAATCAACAAAAACACCGAGGAATATCTTGACGGATTTCCACCTGCCATCGTCTGAACAGATAGTGAGAATCCAGCTTTAAGATTCCTGAATGCCGTGATCATGATAGATAGTGACGTCAGAGACGAGAAATGACACGCTGAGAATTCTTGCGTGCCAGTTTCAAATGAGAAGATATTTATATGAAAGAACACGTCAGAGTATATTTGTAAAATGCTCCGAAAAGAAAACTATACTTCTCCCTTGATAGTCAATCGACAGCCGCCGAATGACTGCGAGGTCTAGTCATGCGCATGCGCAATCGCTACGTGTGACTAACCTCATATCACAGCGATCTGAAGTATTCTTTCAGATGAATACAGCTTTTTAGTTAGAAATGGCATGTAAGAATTTCGAGCACGCGTTTTCTCGCTTCAAACGTCAGCAATGAAGAATCCACGCCGTCAGATCGTCTGCAACGCCTCCTCTTTTTGCTTGCAACATTGTGTTTCACGCAACATTCGCACCGTCTGCTTAATTACGAGGTGCAATCATCAAACAGTCCGATCGTGCGTGTTGTGAAACCTCGATTTCTTTCTGTTCGATTTTCCTACAAGTCGATTCTTTCGACAGAGAATCACTTTCCGGTCCGTTGATATTCAACAATGCTGTTTCGTTTGAAAGAATCGATTCGTACAGAAAAAAATCAGATAGAAAGGAATCAATTTAAAAAAAATCGAGAGCATCTCAATTCGACACAGTACGATTGGACATAGCCAATAAAATTAGTTAGATTAGAATTAGGTTAATTTTGAGTAATATTATTGGTTATGTTCAATCGGGTCCCACCCAAAAAATCGAGTTTTGGAGAAAAAGATTGATTTTCTGAAAATCGAAACGAGATCGTCCGTCATTAACAAAGAGCTGAATCAAGACAAGAGGGGGCAGGTCTCTCAGGGGGGTGGAGTTTGAATATTCGCACATCGAACAAGTCTATTTTCAGTCCGCTGAGCCGGCGGATCAGTTGGCAGCCGAGCATCATTCTTACGGATGAATGGCTTCTTCATCGGGACAATGCTCCAACGCATACGATATTGTCTATGAAGCCGTGAAGCGGCTGGAAAACGCGATGCTAAAACACTCGGCTACCGATGCTAAAACACTCGGCCTCTTCCTCAGATTTGGCGTCCTGTGATTTTTTTTATCCCCAAAAATTAAAAACGTGCTGAAGGGACCGCTTTAGGCCTGCATTCTTTATTCAGGCAAGGAGTTGCTAAGAGTCTTAATGGAAAAAATGTTCTGGCAGTACCTTAGGCTTTCACTGTTTGGCACAGTGGGAAATCCGACTGTGAACAGACAAGAAGTTGAAGGAGACCAAGGTCAAATTACATAATGTTCCAATAAAATTACGTTAAAACCGAAATTCGCTTGTTTGATTTGATTCCCGGGTCGATGGCGCGTCCGTTTTCGTTTCGGGCCAAATCGTGCGAAATGAAACGCTTCTGTGTGTGCACCGAGGGAGCTTAAAGGCCTATGGGAGGGTTCACACCTGGGGAAGAAAGCAGAAAAGCAGTCTCAAGAGAAAGACTGAAGAGAAAGACAGACTACCAGCGCGAGTTCTGACTAGTTTCTGTCTTTTTGCTTTCTACTTTTTTGTCCAGGTATGAATCCTTCCTAACTATATGTATACTTAGACCAAGCATTCTCTCTAAAAAGTGAAGCCGGAAGTTGACAGTTTGAGACAGAAAGAGAAAGTTGTTTTGCGTCTACTTCTTTCTCATTCTAGCTTACATCGACTGTCAAGAGTCGCCATATTTGTACTAAAGTTATCAAATTAAGTATATATTTATAGACAAATATGTAAAAGAAAAATATAAAATATATGAAAAAAATATAAAAAATATGTAAAATAAATATAGATATAAATAAGAATAGAGATAAAAGGTGTTATTAACCCTAATTTGCTATATTATAATACATTAGCTCCATGTTTCTATACCTGTGAAATCGAATTTGGTCCGACTTGTGCCTCAAATGTACGCCGCAAATGCAACAAAACACCACATTATTTTATATCTTGTATCATTTTCTTTTCTTTCACCGTTTACAGCAAAACTGTTAAGTTAAGTATGGCTCTTGCTTGTCATAGGAGTCAAGAGTGAGAAAGCAGTGGACGCAAATCAACGTTCTCTCTCGGTCATAAACTGCCAACTTCCGGCTTCACTCGCTGTTATAGTAAAAATATACTAATGTTTGGTCTAGGTATATATGTCGTTGTTCCCACAGACTTCTATATATAAGCTAGACTGATAACTTTCATCGGTTTTCATGCATAAAAGCATCCCTAATGTAAAACGTAAAGAATCGTGCGCACGTGCGCATTGCAAGGTCCCGAAAGGAAAATGCAAGTGCACCGTACAGGCATTTTTATTTCAGAAAATGTTAATATTTATCCAATATTTAATATTTATGTGAACATTGAATGTGTCATTGAATGTGACATTGCGAGAGGAAGTATTAAATATTGGATAAATATTGACATTTTCTGGAGAAAAATGCCTGCACGGTGCGGTATAGCGCGGTTACCATACGTCTCTTCCGGGACCTTGCAATGCGCATGCGAATGAAATTTTAATACATACTCTTAGGGGACGTATTAAAGAGACAAGTTATCGGTCTAGTGTATATAATATAGAAATCTGTGGTTGTCCTTAACACGGCGCGGGCTCGTGTCGCCATTTTCGTTTTCGCGCCTGTTCAACCTTTGCTTTTCGGCAAGCGGCCGGGACGATTTCCAGCCGGCCGCTTCGGTTGTCATGGAGCTCTCTCGCCGTTGAGACTCCCGCGCGGAGGTCTTTACGACCGCGGTGCACAGTGGATCGAAACTTCAAATTCTGTGGACATCGACTAAAATTCTGTTCGGAAACCAAATTTTGTGCAGGAATAAGTTTTAATGAAATTAATTTTCATAAAATATTTTATTTATAATATTTTTGTATACCATTTTGGTAATAATAGTATTGTAACGAATATATATAAATATATAGTGTTCCTATTCGGTTTCAACAGCTAGGATGACGTGAAAGTAAGGAACAAGCTAGCCTTGGGCAAGTTATATCAAATTTTCTTGCATAAATTCAATTAATAAAATATTTGTTACATATTTTTGAAAATTTTAAGATTAAACAATCTGTATGAAAACATAAGAGAAAATTGCAAGACTAGTGGATTTTGTAAAACAATATTCATGAAAACAGCCAAGGATAACAATACAGCAAAGAGGTTCTTTGCAAATCCCTTGATTATGTGTGTATGAATAGAACTGGATTAAACGAAAAAACTATTCGAAATTTTCCGATTCTTTTCCAATCCGTTGCAACAGATTGAAAAAAATTTATGTCTTGTTTCTTATCTATGTGATGCTGACTTGAAACCAAACAGGAATATTTAAAATTCAATAAAAAAAATATTGTTATAAAAATATTATGGAAATATAAACAGAAATTTTACTGAAATTTTCATTACAAATGATTTCTGGACGAAATTCTGTCTCCGAGCCGAATTTTCATTTATGTACAATTGTTTATGTACATAATAGGTTAGATGGTTTCTATCCATTATACGATGTATAGGAGAAAAGATCGCACGAAAACGCAGCTGAAACCTATACGGTCTTTTACTATATGAATTATTCTTTTAAATCCTATTTAGTAGATCTTGAACAAATATGGACATTTTTTTAATTATTCAATAAATATGTATGAGTTGAGTTACGATTTCGTTCCAATTCATCATAGAGAAAAATGCGTAAAAATATAACAAAATCTGGCAACGGATATGATAAAAATGTTCTTGGAGAACCATAGAATTGTGTACCATAAGATAGATAAGGATCGATAATTATATATAT